TATATATATATATATATATATATATATATATATATATATATATATATCTTCAACGGACAAGACGACCGATACGTATTACGTTACAGTTCAAGGAACAAAAAAATTTATCGAGTCTCTCATCGGACTCATTGCGAAATATAAAAAAATGCCCCTCACATTTCGTAGGAATTGTTCAAGCGAGTATCGGAGCAATTCACGGCGATGTTCCGGCGCAAAGCCTTCCTTCACTGGTACACCGGCGAGGGTATGGACGATATGGAGTTCACCGAAGCCGAGAGCAACATGAACGACCTCGTGTCCGAGTATCAGCAGTATCAGGAAGCCACTGCCGAGGAGGAGGGCGAGTTCGACGAGGAGGAGGAGGGCGAGGGCGAGGACAAGTGATCGTCCCATCTTCCGGGGGATGTTTATCGAGTGCTTGTACACCTGCTTCCTTTCCACTTCGCACCCTCCTCTTTATATAGTTATATCGTCGTATCCTGTTAGTGTAAAATAATATGTGGTCGAGCTAACGTTACCCGACACTTTGTGTTCTCCTCTTGTCTTCCGTCGCGTCTTATCGTCGAAAGGTATATAAAATAAAGAACGTTCAGCTCCTCTCTATTTTCGCCCCGCAAGAAACTCATTCCCATCCGCGCGTCCTTCTCTATATCTATCCCTCTGCCTCTCTTTCTCAACGTGTCTACACAACGCGGCGAAACGGAACACGGTCTCGCGTGCTGGGGTTTGCGCTTGGTTTCCGGGTAACCTCCGGTCGCTACGGGGATAATGCGAAATGTACGTATCGGAGAAACGTTTCCAGCTTACTCTCCTTCAAGTAGTACACTGCGCAAGTAAGCACCACGTTCGGAGAGGTGTTTGCCTTACCATCCGCCCGCGTATTCGGTCCTTGTGTTGCAGAGAAACTTTAATTTAAAATTGTAATCAACCTTTTTTGCACAAGTTTGTCCACACTCCTGCATTTGATACTGACTATTCGAAGTAGCACAATTGTGGCATATTTCACAATATTCATATTATCACCTGTTCAGTTCGCACTACACATATTTCGTGATATCATTAATTTTGTTAATTTTTTATTTTGTCGATTCGTATATCGCGTAACTGTAAGGCTGCGTTCGAAAACTTCACCCAGATGCACCTGGTGTCGTTTGGTAGTCTTCAAGTTACATTCAAGTGACAACAGTGGAGTCGTTCGAGAACTCTGTTGGGTGCATCTCGAGTACACAATTTTTCACTCTGAAATGTTAGAGTGGATTCAAGTAACTTCTTGCAGTTAGCGGGATTTTTAAATAGTGTTCAATACTTGTTGACCCGATCCTATTCTTTCCTAACTTCATAGCATAGTCTCTATTATCAACTTCTATCCAAGTTTCAACAACACTTGCTTCCTCAATCATTCCATTTACTTCGTCATCGCCACCGTTTGGATGTAGGTTAACCAAGTTGTCGTTTTCATTAACTCTAATTTAGCAGCCACGGCACAAATTACGATAATACTTTTATTCACCATTAGTTTCTATTTTGTTTTCTACTGCTGACCTAGTTGCACTAGCTTACATTAGTTCTTTTTTCTTCTTTTTTCGCCAAGTCCTAACTATATATCTATAAGCTTATTCTATAATTTTTAATGACAGTATCATTATCCTTACATTGCCGTTGCGTAGGTATAATATATGGTAAAGAAGATGCACGACGACACATCATGCTAGTAATATTGTTGTTAGGAAGTTACAGAATAGGTTTACAGTTTTTTTTTTAAAGATGTGTCAATGTACATCAGTTTAGTGTTAGAAAAACAGATTTATTATTTTATTATTTACCATTTATTTATCATTATTTTATTACCACAGAAAGATAGATTTATTATTTTATTATTTATCTATTATTTACCATTTTCTCTGTCTACTGTTCGGAAACTATTTGCACTCGAGGTGTTCCCACCATCACCATCACTACCCATCACCACCGTCACTCTACTCTACCCGCAGGGTGGAATTCCGAACGCAATTGTGCTCTCTAGATTTCTTGGAGTGAAATCTCACTGACAACGAGTGGAACGTGGCAATATTTTCACTCAAAACGACAGTAAAAATACTGCTATTTGAAATCGCAAGAGTAAATGTTTCATACAAGATTAGAGTAAATTCTGACTATATGAGCGAATATTTTAGCCGATTAGAATGAATATGTTCCTGTGATGAGTACAATCGATTACAGAACAATGTTTAGACATAATGAAGTTGAGATCCAAATCAAATCGTCAAAAATATATCATAACCGATGAGTTTTTGCGCAGTATAACAATAATCATCATAAATAATATAATTACTACGAAAGTCCGTCGATAATATTACTCTCAATTTTGAGTTTGTTGAGATTTTAACTTTATTGTAATTAAACTAGTTTGCAATTAAGGTTCTTATTATAAACTCTTTTATCGATAAAAGTATTTTTAAATGTGCTTATAAATCAATCACACAGAAATATAAGTTACATTTAGATGTATTTTTGTTTATGAAAGAGTTCAGAATAAAGGCCTCAATGTATAATTGCGGACAAAAACATGGACATAGAAATATCTGGACGGAGCATATTTTCGTAGGATTAAAGCTTAAGGAAAAATGAAATTATAACGGATATAATCGACCAAGATGGCAGTGACATAAGATTATATCCATTTATATTTTTTCGTTTTGTCTTTTCTACTTTTGCATCTTTTCGTGCAACAATCAGGCATATTATAAAAGAAAATAGAACGCTTTACTGCAGACATTATTTTTACAGAATACATAACCTCGAAACGCAACAACGTCTCGGTTAAAATCACGCCGCGCGATTGCGCACGACGTGAAAATATTTCCGACCCTACATATATCGTGTGTTATGTGCAGGATGTGCCAGATTTTCCTTCGATTTTTGATGGAACGTATAACGGAATGAGGTGAACATAAAAGCTCTATATTGTTTTACGATATTCGCAATAATCGAGATTAATTAAGAAAGATTGATGAATGATCACGCAAGACATGGTAGATGAGCTGTAGTGACAATGTGTGTTATCATATATTGTAGGTTAAATTGAACAAGAAAATCCTTTATCATTTAGTAAATAACCATGCAGATTTTTAGTTATTAATGAAACAAAATTATTATATGATTGTAGGCGATAATACACAAATTTTCTTTAATTAATATTTAAAAATCTATATAGTCATTTGCAAGATGGTAAAGGACTTTTTTGTTCAGTTTTACTTAATATATAAATATACAACGGCAGATGGCGCCACTATAACTCATTTATCACATTGCGCGTTCACTAACTGATCATTCACCAATTTTCTTTAATTAATATCTCGAGATTTATTGCGAATATCACAAAACGGTATAGGACTTTTATGGGCAGTATTCATAGTCGAATCTTATTTCAAGGCCGTCTTAAGTAATGTCTTAAGATGCGAATACGGCTCTGTGATTGGTTCATGACATCTTAAGACAGTACTTAACCCTTATAGAAATATCATACTAAGAATCATTGATAATTACTTATTATCCAGTATTTTTAATACTGAAAATAAGTAATTATCAATGATTTTTAGTATGATATTTCTATAAGGGAAGATGATCTTAAGTATAAGATTGGACTATGAATACCGGCCTATGTTCGCCTCAATCCGTTCTACATTCTACATTCCCACAAAAATAGCAGAGGAGAGTCTGGGATACTCTGGACATGTTATAATCAAACTTCCATAGCACGGGCTCTTAGAATTGATTGTTCACTGTGGAACAACTAAGCGTTTTGGTCAAAGTCTGACATAGTTTTGTGTTTTGATTTTTGATTGGTTTTTCGTCAATCGAAGCAGTGAACATGGCTGGTCAAAGTTAAAAACTAAAAAATATAAATGTATTACAACAAAAAAATTAAAAAGTATATCTTTGGTGAAATGGAGACTTCGTTCTTATCCCGTTAAAAATTTAACCTAACTCTACCATATTTGTGGCAATGAAACATTGTCACATATTTGTGAAAAAATGTACATTTATACACGTTTACATATGCACATATGCACATTATACACATTTTAACAACCAACGTCCTCATAATGCTGTAGGATAGGATTAGGTTAGATTTTTAGCGAAATATTTGGCGGGATATTTACCAAAAATATACTTTTGGCATTTGTTACACACACATCGAAGAATTACGTTCTATTTATATAATTTTTTTTGTTAACTTTTTAATAAACAAACAATGATGGGACTAAGACCTATTGAAGGTTACTCAGAACGAAATCTTTATAATTATCAATTGGATTGCAACTGACGATTATAAAATAGAGTATTGTCTAATTGGCAGTCATTAATCTCAATCTTTAGTTGCTTTGCTCTAATTAAAAAGTAGTAAAAAAGTAAAAAAGTAGTTGTTGATCGCCAATCGCAATTCAATCGACAATTGTTAGTCTGAGCTTTATGTAACTCTTCGGAATCGATTCCAATCGGAATAATACCGCTTTCCCTAGAAAGGACAATAGAAATCTAGGGAATAATGGAATTATTCCAATCGGAATCCATTTCACACAAACAAGTTTATAACACGCGTCCATATTCTCGTTTCAATTTCGAGCCCGAATATTCATTCAGAGTAGAGAGTTCACTCTCTATATGAACGAAAAAGTCACTCGAATTCGAATGACTCAGTCACTCTACTTCTCGGGCGGAATTTCACTCCAAGAATTTTGGAGAGTAACCTCAAACGTAATCGTGCGCGCCAGCGTCCGTTTAGTCGTGTAAAAATCACTTCGCAATTTATTTCGGGAGCACACTCCATTCCGTCGGCCGGGAGCAATTCTTTTACAATCTCTCGACGGCGCGATAACGCGCCATAATAAATCGCGGCGCAGCGCGCGTGCATCGGAGGCTCGTACATCACCTGGCATCAGCAGCGACGGCGGCGGCGGCGGAGGCGGCGGTGCCGACGTCGTGCAGCCGGTGTTCTCGCGCGTTCTCAGTCTTCGGGGTCGTGCGAGCGCGGAGGGAACATTATATTGGCAATAATAATTGCGCGACGGCGTGTGAACGGCGAGCCGCACGAGGACTCGTTAAGTTGATGTCACGCATCCCTGAATGTCCCGCGAAAAATGAGGCGTGGATGCCTCCACGCTTCGACGCCCGTCGTCCGTGAAGGATCTCGTCTCGTTCGCGCAGTGCGAGATCCGTCTTCAGAGGTCCGTTTTCTCGCGCGCACGAACCTGCGGAAGCGACAAGGATGTTTAGAGCATATATATATGGAGAGGGAATTGCGTATGTCTCCTGTAGACCAAAAGTGTATCCAAGATCTGTGCGAGAGAGAAAGGTATACATTTCTATTCCTCCTCTGTGCGCATGCGCCAACATGCGTTAGTTGTTGCTGGATTACGAAATTATTGGTTTCAATATTTTTTTACTCGAATTCTATCAACTTTATCGAAAAATAGCGAGAAATAAAATTGTTTATTTTTTTCTCATAGAGCTC